TATTAGATGCGAATCCAACCCGAATCGTGCCTTTGTCAATTTCCATGGATCAAAACCGAGGTTGTAACGAGATATAGTTTTCCAGATTTTCCAATTTTGGTCGTCCCGCTCGAGCGGGGAAAGTGACGCTCGAGCGGGGTTTGTAAGCTCACAGCATCTCTGCTTCGCTTGAAAAAGTACTGGATGGTGTGATTCGGAGCTCGAGCGTGAAAACTTCCGCTCGAGCGTGAAGCCTATATGAATCACACAATTTTGAACCCTCCGCTCGAGCGGGAATTGCCACGCTCGAGTGGACCGCGCGAACACAGATTCTTGGATTTCTAGAAGGAATTGGTTTTCTTTCAAAACTAGGATTACTTTGGTTTTCTATAAGTAATTGGTTTTCTCTTAAAACTTGGACAACTCCTCCAGATCTTCTTTTTGGGTTCTAAGGTTTATATCTGGGGATATTTTGCTAGTTTTCTTTGATGTTTTCATTGAGTATTCAACTCATGGTTTAAGAAGCATACATCAAAGGTTTGTTTGTTTATTCTACACAAAAGAGAGAGTTGTTCTTCGGTGGATTCTGAAGAATTCAAGCCTGAAGCTTTGGTGGATTCCGGAGTGGCTTATCGTCAAGACAATTCCGAGGTGAAGACGGGGTTGGAAGAGACACATAGAGGTTGGTTCAATTCGGGCGTGGATTCGCTAGGTAATTGAGAGTATACCTGTGTAATTCCTTTATATCTTTTTAGTGGATTGTTTTGTGGTTGTTGCCCGTGGTTTTTTTTTATCACAATTGGAGGTGTCCCATTGTGGTTTTTCCATGTAAAATCGTTGTGTCGATTTGTCTTGATTGTTTGATTGGGATTGTTGTTTACTATTTAAAATTGATACATAATCACAAATCAGCATCTAGGGATTTCTAGATTTTTCATATATATTTTTTTGAATTATAAACGGTTTATTAAACCTTTTTCAACATGCGCAAATGTCATAAAGACTAACAGGAATATGAGTTGCATTTTGGAGTAATCCATTATTCGTTAATATGATCACGTGGGTAGGCAATAACATTTTTGAAAATGCGATTACATCTCTCGTAATTAGAATCTAAGAATTATTTACTTTACATTTTATTTACATAATTACAATATATTTATTGATTTTTTATAGTAATATTGATGGTTTATTGTATAAAATTTCTCCCAACATCTTGTAACAAAGTAGATGACTGCAATGGAGTGAGTAGCAGAGAGAGCAAGTAGCCAATAGCTTGGTACTGGTGGAATTGACAAGAAGTACACCATCTAAATTTTTCCATACACAAAGGACTGCAAATACCATGACACCTTCCCCTTGCTTTTCAATAGCAAGTTCTTTTTTTTTTAAAAAACTATTTTTATCTTATAAGCGGTAAATAGAAGCTGCACTAAATAATTTTACACATATATAAAAAAGAGAAAGCTATAAATAGCTCCATAGGTTGCACTAAACAGTCCCATATTCATAAACTAAAAGTCTGTGATTTCTCAACACAATGTTCCATCAATCTCGCCAAGTTCAGATGGTGAGTGCTGCCTATTATTTTGACTTCTTCAGCTAAGAAAAAGACTTCTGGACATGGCCTAAGTCATCAAGATGCTTCGCTGCAACTTTGATTTTGCCGTTGCTTAGAAGAGTTCCTTCAAAGACCAATATACATATCATCCTTGCCAAAGTTTCCTTTTGAAATCATATCAGTCAGTGACTTTGAGCTCAATTCTATAAGAGAATCTCATGGCAATGTTTTAAAAAGCGGTCGCAACCATTACATAATGGTTGTGGTGGTTACTGCTACTCGTTACGGCCGCTATAGCAGTGTGATGAAAATTCATATGTGTAACGGCCGTTTCGGTGTTACGTAACAGCCGTAGCGGTACCATAACAGTCGTGACAGTCAGTTACACACTATTACATCTTTCATAATATTCTGAATAGCTTCCTTTCCCGAAAAAAAAAAAAACTTATAAAAAAAGAACAAATACTAAAGTGATTCAAGCCTAAAGAAAAGATCTTATATGAATTTATTTTGTTTATAATTTTTTTTTAAATTTTTATTTCATTACATTAGCATGTAAAATAAAAAATATATAAACAGTGGTTATATATTTTTTTATAATCATTTTATTTAATATTTAATTGTAAATATTTTTTTATTTTATTTTGTTGCTATTATGTGTTGTCTAAAAAATGTCTTCAAAAAACTCAAAAATAATTTTTGTTTATGGCACAATTTTTATTTTATAATCATTTCGTTTAATAATTGTGAATATATTTTATTCAGTTAGTTCAGGTATTGGTCAAAAATAATTTGCAAATATTGAAAATCAATTATTTTTGAAGTCATTAACTATTGAAATAGAATGTAAAATGCGCATCGGTAACTTTTCTTTAAATTGTGCGAAAAATAAAAAAAATCAACATTCTGGTTACTTTATTTTATAATCATTTCATTTAATAATTGTGAATATATTTTATTTAGTTAGTTCAGGTATTGGTCAAAAATAATTTGTAAATATTTAAAATCAATTATTTTTGAAGTCATTAACTATTGAAATAGAATGTAAAATGCGCATCGGTAACTTTTCTTTAAATTGTGCGAAAAATAAAAAAAATCAACATTCTGGTTACCACAACCGTTACACTGCGGTTTTTATATCATGCAACCACAACCGTGCCACCGCAATTGTTACAGCGACCATAACCGCAACCACTTTTCGAAACCTTGCTCATGGGTGTGGCAAGGTTTATGACAGAAGTCACAGAAAAGCTGATCGTTTCATTAGTTCCTCTTTTCTAACTTGAAAAGGAAAACAAAGATGAAAATTATAATAAAGAGACCGGAAAAACACTCCAAGTCTGGATACCAATTTGATTACAAATTGATTATTGATTGCACTTTATATTGACCTTCATTGAGATGATCTCTGTTAGTATATATAGAGCATTTTCCACTTGAATTTGTATTGGAAAAATCACTTGAACAAAACAAAGCAGCTCTATGGTAGCAACTACTTAAACAGGCTTGCTTGCAACTACTCTTCATGTCTAAGTATTCATAGCATTTGACATGTCAGCCTCAACAATGAGGTAGGTAACATTCTTTAGCTCTATGAGCTTGTAATGTTTTGAAGCTTCGCAGTGCAAAGGAATAATTTCAGAACATTCAAGATTATGATGCTTATCGTTTATTTATCTGTTTAAACTAGCTTACTTGTATTGCTATTAGTCACTTCTGAGTAACTGCGGACCAAACTTGCCACGCTATCGTACCATATCTACTGCAAACTAGTGGTGGCTTAAGGAGTAGGCGCTCTATTTAGGAGGGCCCTACTTACTATATATAGTCAAATCATAAAGAGAGAACAACCTCTTTTGAGTGTAAAGGTTAGAGAAATTGTTAAGAATTTTAAATAAAAATTATAAAAAAAAATATTACAGAGGGCCCCAATTATATTTATCAAACAAGAATAAAACTTCATGAGTTATCTTAGACTATCAGTCAAATCATAAAGAGAGAAAACAACCTCTCTTACTGGAGGACATTTACATTGCACCTCTTCAATTATCTGGTCAAGTAAAAAAAAAAATAAAAGGCCTTTTTATCAAAATTATTTTGATTGTAAAGGTTAGGAAATTGTTAAGAATTTTAAATAAAAATCATAAAAAAATTATTACAAAGGGCCCCAATTATATTTTTTGCCGTCATTCAAATAGGTTTGATCCATGTAGTGCACAGTTTAGCCATTGAACACACAACAGCTTGGGCATTGATCTAATGCGCAGAATCAATGTAAAAAAATGATCCAAGAAAAATATTGCAAATCAGATTTCAGTTTATCAATTTCCTGTTACAGAACAGCAGGTTTCGGGAAAGCAGAGGGGGAAAAACATGGCAGTAGAATTTTTTGTTCATCACGTCACACTTTTTGTTTTCCCAGTCAAGCTTAAAGTGAGAAAAAAATTGCACATTCTGCAGACTAACTGATGTACAAAATGTTTTCTTTCCCAGCAATTCAAGAATATAACCCTTTAACCAAATTAATTAATCATAAAATGGCTCTAAATTTGTCCAAAATATAAGCCGGCTTTATTCCTTCTTGAAACTTAATTTACTATTCATTGACACATCTTTTGGATAATAAAGTTTGAATTTTAACCCACTAATTTGATGTTCTCTTCTTTTACTTGAATCATGAGAAACTCTCATACTCTCACAAAATATCTATGTACTTCGCCTTCACTATAGAACTTGAAAATGTTTGAATTAAAACTATGGGAAATCTAGCTCACTATGTTCATGTAGTTTTGTATGTACTATGGAAATGATGATGGAAGACCTTGAAGAAATAAAAGGGGCAAATATTATTGAGAGAGTTGAAATTTTGTCAACTCTACCTAAAACACCATTAATCTTGGTATCATGGATTGTGATTTGCACAAATAAAAATCTTTGATTATAGTTCACTACATATGAAATGGAATACAAAAACTTTAAACAACCAGTTGTAATTTGCTTGTTGGAGTCTACTTTATTTACCTTAATCTTGATAAAGCTAATGCAAATAATGGAGTAGTAGTGCCAATGGCATCCCCTTGGTGACTAGCAACTGTAATTGGTATTGGTGCCACAGGAGTTGTGAAGTTATAATCCTAATTGCTTTGAACATCTACAGTACCCACCAAGACCTTAACCAACACCGACATGGAAGGCCTCTTGGAAAAATCACTTTGTAGACACCACACAGCAACCCTCATCATCTCCACAACTTTTGCTCTATGTGTTTGCATGTCATCATTGTATTTATCAACGATATCTAGAAGTCGTTCCTCTTCTGCCTTCCTCTTAAATAGATCTAGCAGATGCATATCTTCCTCAGGTTGAGGCCTATCCAAATTTTTGCGCCTATACAACATTTCGAAGACCACGACACCAAAGCTATAAACATCTATAGTTTCTCGGTGATAATTGAGCTCAATCATTCGGGAGCCAAATAGCCTGGTGTTCCCCTCATCATTGTTACAACTTGGCTTTGGTCCTTATCAATTAGTTTTGACAATCCAAAATCAGAAATTTTTGCATTGAAGTCTTCATCTAAAAGGATGTTTTGGGGTTTGATATCCAAGTGAAGTATCTTTTGCCTATATTCCTCATGAAGATAGGTTAGTCCCTTGGTTATATCCATAATGATCTTCTTTCTGGATTGCCACACAAGAGTTTGCTCTTGGTGCCTTTGGAAGATCCATGTATCCAATGATCCATTGGACATGTACTCGTAAACTAGAAGCCTATATGGTTTTTCAGCACAAAATCCAATTAATCTCACCAAATTGACCTGGTGAATGCTGCCTATTGTTTCAACTTCAGCTGAAAATGACTCCTTAACCTAATCAAAACCATTGAGATGCTTCACCGATACTTTGTTGCCATCGCTTAATGTCCCTTGAAACACTGACCTAAATCCTCCTTCCCCGAGCTTATCATTGAAATTGCTTGTCGTGGCTCTCAATTCTTCGTAAGAAAATCTGGTAGGCATCGCTGGTACTTGATTAACAAAGAACTCATCAAAATCTTCGGACTTTTGTTTCTTTTTGAAAAAGAAAATGCAAGAGGCAACCAAAAAACATACAACAAAAAAATCTCTGAGACTGGAACCTAGTATGATCTTGACTTGCCCTGATTTCTTTTGAGGAGAATTTGTTGATGAAGGAATAAGATTCTGTCTAGTTGGAGATTTCTGCATTTTAAGAAATACAACAACGTTCTCATACGTTGTTCCCTCATTACTTATAAGAGAAAAGACTTTAGGCAATAATAAGCAACCTTACTTTGAAAAAGAGCCCAAATTATGTGCAAAAGAGCTACTTTGCATGAATAGTTTTTCAAGCAACTCTTCTTGCAATCTTCTAATGCTAATTTTTCATCCAAGTAAAAGTTTGAGGGGAACTATTCATGGAAGTTAGAGTAAAAGAAGCTAGTATTCTTAAGCTTCAAAAAGGTGTGATATTGAGAATGGTCACAAGAAATGGGTGTAACAAGGGAACATCCAAGGCTGGGTTGCCTAGAATTTTTTTGCTAGAAGGTGTTGTTGTAGATGGCTTCTTTAAGACAACTGCATTGTCTATTTTAAGAACAGATGCCATAATTGCCACACACCATGCAGGGCCGACCCTGGGCTAAGGCCAGTGAGGCCTGTGCCTAGGGCCCCAAAAATTAGGCCCCAAAATTCATTATCTTGTACTATATCAAAAATTCAAAATGGCCCAATTTTGTTTAATTAATTTAGGCCATTTTAAAAGGGAAAATTACCATGTAGTCCTATGTAGGGGATCTATTTCCCTTTTAATCCCAATTTATTTTTAATAGATCAATAGGTCCTGTAGACACCCCATTTTTGACCGACCTTAAGACTCAGACGTCACCTATTGAGCGCTTGGTGATGTTGCATAATGTGCTCGTTCAGAAGTTTCAGAGTTGCGGCCGTGAGCCCTGCCTCCGGACTTCCGAACCCTCTTTTGTGCTTTGCCTCGGTTTGCGAACCAGGCTCGGCTTTCTTTATTTCTTTTCCTGAGGGGAGGGAGAAGCCCCGTAGACCATCTCTTAGTGGCCGTGGGCTACATTTGGTGGCCGTAGGCCATTTTGCCCATTTCGGAGTCCGGTTTCCGGTTTTTCGGGACCGTTGGCCGTGTGCCTCGGTTCGGGACCGCTTAACCATCTCTGTTTGCTCTAATTTTTGGCATACTCCTTATTTGCTCCCTTTTGAGGGACACTGGGGTCTGAGAAACCCACTTCGTGGCCGAATGCCACTTTCGGTGCTTAACAGCCCATTTTCGGGACCTCGAACGAAGCATGGTTAGAGTCTGTCCTTTCTCACACGATTTCAGCGTGTTTGGAATTTGTTTTCCTCTTCTAACGATTTCAGCGTGGTTTGAGTGTTCCTTTCCTTACACGATCACAGTGTGTTTGGACTTTATCTCGGGTTGCGTCGAGCGCGCCCCTGAGCCGTTGTTTTCGGGCCTCTTCTCATGATTTCAGCGTGGTTTGAGTGTTCTTTTCCTCACACGATTTCGGCGTGTTTGGATTTGTTTTTCTTCCTCTCATGATTCCAGCGTGGTTGGAGTATGTCACCCTTTGCATCTACTGTACTATCTGCTACATTGCATCTATTATCTATTGCATCACATCTATTATATCTATCGCATTACACAGAATGTATCACATGCATCCATTGCATCATATCTGTTTTATTGCCCGGTCTAGGAGACCTTAAATCCTCTCTAATGTTGAACACCCTTGAGCCACTTTCTTGGACTTTTAACCACAGGGTTGTGTTGTACACACATGGGAGGACACCATCATGTGGTGGCCGGCCACTAAACCAGCTTGACCCTTTTGACCCCTAGCCGACCGGCTAGGGGATGTGGCCGGCCGGCCACCTGCAGCAAAAATACCTGGCCGGCCGTGATCCTCACACTGTTCACTTTACAGCTGTATAGCTTTATCCCCCAGAAAATATCTTTATCCGAGGGATATTTTGTGGGGGAAAGTTGGCCTCCTTTTCCCCCACCTTTACACCCCCTTTTTGGTCCATATAACCAGCATTCCATATCACATTTAGGGGTTAGAAAAAATTGTCTTCAAGCCTCAATACACATATCTCCCTCCATCTTTCTCATTTTCCTAAAAATCCTTAAGTCCTACACCTTGTTTTCTTCATCACCACCAAGCTCTACCACCACCACTCCATTTCAGCAGCAAGGGGAAGAATTCCAGCAGCTTAGAGTCATCAAAATTGGTCCAAGAAGCAACAAAAGTATTGATCTTCAAGGGTGAGTCCATTTCCCTCTTTTTTAGCTTATTTCTTGCAACATTTCTTAGCCTCTCCTTCTTATACATTTGAGCTCCGACCGAAACTGAAAGTACCCTTTTTTTGAGTTCATTTTCATGTCTCATGAAGGGCTCAACCCTGTTTGAGCCCCCCATCTTGCACTTGCTTCATTATCCTTCTAAAGTGTCATTTTCTTGCATGATATTTTTAGCTTGTGTGTGATTTATTTTGGAGCATGTTATAAACTGTAAGTAGGCTTATTTTGAGCCCCTCTTCAACATTGAAGAAGGGCTCAACACTGTTTGAGACTTCCATGTTGTACTTCCCTTTATATCCTCTTTTTGGTCCCATTTTTGTATGCCTTGGCAGCCGCTGATGTTGCTGTTTTTGGACCTTGGTCCGAACTAAAAGTGGGTTTATTTTTACCTCCTGAACATGTTTTATTAAGGGTCTTTTCTTGTTTGATGAATTTTTTGTATACCTCATGTTATAGCCACTTTTGAGCCTCATTTTTGCATTGCATTTGTAGCATATTTGTATACTGTTTTTGGGGCTGCCATAAACTGTAAATAGTCCTATTTTGGGTCCCTCTTCAACATTGTTGAAGGACCCTAACCTGTTCGGGGCCAGCAGCTATGAGTTTCTTTTTAATCTCATGTTTAGGGCCATTTCTTGCATGCTAGTTTTGCCCTATCTTGGTTTTATGTTTGGCCATGTTTTGTACTGGTAAAATGCTAATTTTGGGGCTGCCTTGCTTCTGTCTTTACATTCCATGTCCATATTGTGCATGTTTGGTATAGCTATAGGCCATTTCGGGTGCCAAAATTCATATTTCGGGACTATTCCATGCATCGGGTGTACTTTCACCTCGTTTCGGGGCTGTTTTACCCCATATTTCACTGCTGAAAATCCATTAGCATGCTTGCATACCATTTTTGCCACATTTGCATTGCATATACCATTGCCTCGGTTTGCATGCCCGTGTGCACGCATTTCGAGGCACTTCATTTTCATCCAGCGGCCTCTCATGTGAGTGTGGCTGAGGCTCTCTCATGTTAGTATAAGTTCATGTTGCATTTTCCATGTTATTTGCATTGCGTATACCATTGCCTCGGTTTGCGTGCCCGTGTGCACGCATTTCGAGGCACTTCATTTTCATCCATCGGCCTCTCATGTGAGTGTGGCTGAGGCTCTCTCATGCTAGTGTAAGTCCATGTTGCATTCTATATGCCATTTCCACGCCATTGCATTACGTATGTCATCGCCTCGGTTTGGTGTGCACGCATTTCGAGGCTAATTGCATTTCATCATTACATTTATCAACAATATCGTTCAATCGTTCCTCTTCTGCTTTCCTTTTAAATAGACTAAGTAAATGCATATCTTCCTCAGGCTAAGAGCTATCCAAATTTTTTCGCCCACACAAAATTTCCAAGACCACGACACCAAAGCTATAGACATCTACTTTCTCGGTGATAATTGAGTTCAACCATTCAGGAGCCAAATAGCCTGCTGTTCCCCTCAAAGTTGTTACAACTTGGCTTTGGTCCTTATCAATTAGTTTTGACAATCCAAAATCAGAAATTTTTGCATTGCAGTATTCACCTAAGAGGATGTTTTGGGATTTGATATCCAAGTGAAATATTTTTTGTCTGCAATCTTCATGGAGATAGGCTAGACCCTTGGCTATATCCATGATGATCATTCTTCTGGATTGCCACCCAAGGGTGAGCTCTTGGTGCCTTTGGAAGATCCATTTATCCAAGGATCCATTGGACATGTATTCGTAAACTAGAAGCTGATATGATTTTTCAGCACCAAATCCAATTAATCTCACCAAATTAACATGGTGAATGTTGCCAATTGTCTTAACTTCAGCTAAAATGACTTCTTAACTTGATCAAAACCATTGAGGCCTTTCACTGCTACATTAGTCCCATCGCTTAATGTCCCTTGAAACACTGACCCAAATCCTTCTTCCCCGAGCTTATGATTGAAATTGTTTGTCATGGCTCTCAATTCTTCGTAAGAGAATCTGGTAGGCATCCTTGGTACTTGATCCTCAAAGAACTCATCAAAATCATCAAACTCTCGTTTCTTCTTGAAAAGGAAAATGCAAGAGGCAACCACAAAAAATACTCCAAAGAAAGCTCCGAAACTGGAACCCTGTATAATTGTGACTTGTCCTGATTTCTTTTGAGGAGAATTTTTTGGTGAAGGAATATGATATTTTGCATTTAGAGATTTCTACACTTTAAGAAATCCAGTAACGTTCTCATCCCTTCCCTCATTATTTATGAGATAAAACACTTCTGGTAGTAAAAAACAACCATTACGTGGATCATACGCCCAATTATCTATAAACAAAGCGGCTATGTATGAACAGTTTTCCAAGCAACTCTTCTTGTAATCCTCTAATGTGGATGAGTATGAGTTAAAGTTAAAGTAATTAGTATTCTTAAGCTCCAAAATTTGTGTGATATTAAGAATGGTCACAACAAATGGGTGTAACAAGGGAACATCCAAGGCTAGGTTGCGTATGATTTATTTGCCTGAAAGTGCTGTTGCCGATGGCTTCCTCCAGACAACTGCACTGTCCATTTGAAGAACAGATGTCGTAATTGCCACACACCATGGGATAACCGCATTCACCAATATCTGATGTCATCAGATCAGTCGTCACATTCCAATTCCAATTCCATCCATCCCACTCATAAGCCTTCAAATGCCCATCAAGATCCAACCTTATGAACTGATGATGAGGTGACGATGATGATGCAACAGGGATTTTGTGCCCCAAAAAGCTTTATTTCTTGAATTTAACATATTTCACTCCTACATAGGATTTAAAATAGGGCAAGGGTGGATTGGATTCTACATAAGCCACCACCATATTATAATAGTCGTGAACTTTA